TCTCCTTCAGCCTGGTCTCTCCCCAATCCGGCCCAAAACTACTCCTCCCTCCCACCCCCTACCTTTGCCCTCTTTCTACTACTTTCCATTTTATCTAACCCGTCCTCTTTCCACTCTACCCCCACCCCGCAATCTTTATGTTGCGTGAGTTGAGTTTTTGCCCCTAACAATAGCAAACTTTTGATCCTCATCTACCTCGCAAGATATCTGGTTGTTTTTTGTTTTGTTTTGGTCAGTGCTTTTCGGCGCTGGCAACTGCATTATAAGGTCATATGAACGCGCGGGACAAATAAAACGTTTTCAGTTTTTTGTAGGAATTTTGGATTTTGCCCGGGTGGCGGCCGAAGCCTACTTTAGGACCACTAAGGGACGTGCATATTTGCACACGGGACCACCAAGATTTTTCGCTATTATCCGAAAAGGCTAGGTGTTAGATCTTACCTATTATTAGTTCAAGGTTGTGGCTGAAAGACAGCAGTAAGAAGGGGCCAAGGAGTAACAGTGTAAAGGCAGCAGAAAGAGTCAGGAGCCCAGATGAGGGGGCAGAAAGTGGAGGCAAAAGCAGACGACAGAAATTGGTTGGAGAGCAGAGAAGGGAGTGAAAGGGAAAAAATAGAGAACAAAACTTTTCGTAGCTATTAGGTTTCAAACCCAGGATCTATTGAATGAGAGGCGCACACCGAAACCTCTAGATACCACGAGAATCCCCCTCACAAGACATTGCTCTTGTTGACAATTACATGTACATCTTTCTACCCCACCTTTTTACCTTTCCCTCCCCCTTCTCCCCTCCTCTTCCCTTTCCGTCTCCACCCCCCCCCTCCTCGTCAGCATCAAGTCCAGTCAAACTGAAGACGTTTGTCCCAGAACCTCTGGAAGCCCCAGGCAGCTGGGCCGTGGGTTTTGCCATCTTCGGCGTCCTCATCTCTTTCATCGTCCTCTTCATCATCATGGACATTACCACTCTGAAGAAACACTCCAAATACATGAAGGCCAACTGTATCGCCTTCAGGTACCACTGTTGTTGTTGTTGTTGTTATTGTTATTGTTGTTTTTGTTGTTCTTGTTCCTATTCTTGTTCTTGTTGGTGTGGTTGTTGTTGGTGTGGTTGTTGTTGTTTTTGTTGTTGTTGTTTTTGTTGTTGTTGTTTGTCTTGTTCTTGTTTGTCTTGTTCTTGTTTCTGCTCTTGTTGATGGTGGTGTGGTTGTTGTTGTTGTTCTTGATTCTATTGCATTTGTTAATAGTACAAGCTACCAGATCAACAAGGACAGCTGAGTCTTCAATTACTCTCCCCACAGGAAGCTGTCTCTGAAGGCATGGCGTCACATCCGCACCACAATGGCCGCCCTGAAGCGTCCCAAGCAACCACCAGGTGACCCCGCACGTGACCTAATAGGAGAGGCCGTGGAGCACGGGGCCATTAAGGCCCGGTCAGTGTCCAGCATCTCGGCCAACCTGCCCGTTGTGGAGCAGACGACAGCTTGAGTTTGAGGGTCTACCAGTTCGGCCTTTAGCCTGCTTCAGACGTCAGGAAGACTGGACAGCGCTGACCGATCGGCCCTAGTAGTACTAGTCAAGTTATGATTGATGGGCCCAGACAAATAAAGGGTTGTAGACGTAGTCAAATTGAGGTCGTTTCGAGAAAAATGCTAGAAACAGCTAGACTTCTGTATGTTTGTTTGTTTGTTTTTTTGTTTGTTTGAGCGAAGGAGCGCTTCGACACAGTTATGATCATTTAGTGTTGAGGAAAAAGTAAAGCAGACAGAACTAAGAGAGTGAAAACAGAGAAGAGGACCTATCAGTGGCGCCCTCCAACCATTTGCACTTCGGCATAGTAATCTATCAAGTTTGGATAATTTGCAAAAGCTATAACTCGGATTTAACCCTCTCACTGCCTGACTTGTTTCGAATTTCTACCATATAGCACAACTCAAGGTTGAGTCTTAAAGTGAGGGGGTTAATAAAGTTATGCAGTCATTTAATTCAAATGCAATGTCTCTTATGACACATCGCTACCCGCTACCTCAGTTTTTACCTCAGTTCCATATGCTCAGTACCTAGTTTTGAGAAATTTGACCTTAAAGATTGAATAACACATCATGTAAAGCTTATTAGAATGCTATTCTTTGAATATCTTGATAACGGCTCCGAATAATCTTACGATGGTGATAGGGCAGATAGTACGTTAATTTTGATTTCTGACCTCATCAGCCAAAACTGTCAGATAGAGCGTTGTAATTCTGAGTTAGCTTGTGTCGTCATACTGAGATCTAAATTTTCAGCAAAATGAGACATTGACCTTCCATTTTTCCGACATCTTCAATTGGTAAATTATGCTAGTTTACTCCCCATAGACATAATCTATAGCATTTAGGAAGCCAGTTGCTTCAACTCTGCCTGTCAGAGCCAACACAGGTTAAGTGGAATGCAGTGTCTCCAGCAAAAAGATGTAGAGACTCGAGGATGAGACAACTTCCCTACTCGAGAATGTGCTTATCTCTTCTGCATGCAACAAAGATGAGACTAACTGACTACTTCTCCACAGATGCCAGTCTGGTCTTCTCTCTGCTCCGGGCAACACCTCAACTGTACTAATTGCTTTAGTCGTTGGCCATTGTATAGGTTTAGTTTCACGCCGCTTTCAACTCCGAATCGTTATTTAAGACATGGGACCCCCATGGGACCCCC